GAAGCCCTAGAGTGACAAATCATGAAACTACATCGTGTGCACTTTCTTTCAGCTGATTCCAGGATTCTGACGTGTAAGAACCAACTAGTGTGTGCACAAATGAGAATGCCCAAGTTCTCGTCCTCATGTGTGCATGAGCATACACACACACACATACACACACACACACACACACACACACACACACACACAGGCAGCTTCTGAGGGGTGTTTCCTTCATTCTGTTTATTCCTTGTCCAGTGCTCTCCCCACCCCCCATCTGTACTTTAGAGGGTGTTAAAGCCAGAAGCCTTTTTCTCTCATCTTCCTGGATGCTCTGGATTAAATAACACAGACCTGATAACGAGCTACAGGTAATCCTTTATGCCCCCGCCTTAAGTGCTGGTCTATTAGCCTGAGCAGAATCCTGGGACCTGCCAACCTGTTTAAATGTGCCTGAGTGGGGAAGTGTGGATTGAGGAAAGAAATAGAGAAGAGACAGAAGATAGAGTTGGGAGGGTATCTGGTGAATACTGTGATCAGCCCCAAGTTCATTGCTCCAATTTTTATATACCCCAATCAAAAGGGGGAAGGCAAAAGACTTCCTTACCTTGATACAAGGAACAAACAAATGTAATTACTCCTTAATACCCAAAACATCAAGTAACCACACCATAAACCAAATATCCTGTTGTTTGGGTAAGATATCCGTTATATATACCTTAGGCCAAATATCCTGTTGTTTAAGCAAGACATACAGCAGCCACACCTGAGGTCAAACATCCTGTGGTTTAACCTTAAAGGAGCAATAATAGGTTCAAACTCTCTGACATTAAGTCAAGAAGGAACAGGGCCACTTCTGTGGGCCTCCACAGTAGAACTTGTTCCAATACTAGTAAGGTATCCGGCCAATGTCTGTGAGTCAGCCTTCCTCCTCCTCCTCCTCTTTTTTTCCAAGACAGGGTTTCTTTGTGTAGAAAGAAAGCTCACTCTGTCCTGGAGCTCACTCTGTAGAACAGGCTGGCTTCGAACTCAGAGATCCTCCTGCCTCTGCTGGGATTAAAGGCATATGCCACCACTCCTGGCTTACACTTCTTTTGTAAATTATTTTATTGTGTATGTGCCGGTGTTTTGCCTGCTTGTTTATCTGTGCATCATATGCATGTGGTGCCCATGGAGACCAGAGACAGGTGTCATATCTGAAACTGGAGTTGCAGACAGTTGTGAACCACCATGTGGGTGCTAGAAGTCAAACCTAGGTCCTCTGGAAGAGCAGCCCGTGTTCTTAATCACTGAATAAACTCCTCAGACCCTCTTATATTTCTTTTTTTTAAGATTTATTTATTTATTATGTATACAACATTCTGCCTCCATATATGCTTGCACGCCAGAAGAGGGCACCAGATCTCATTACAGATGGTTGTGAGCCACCATGTGGTTGCTGGGAATTGAACTCAGGACCTCTGGAAGAACAGTCAGTGCTCTTAACCTCTGAGCCATCTCTCCAGCCCGCCTCTTATATTTCTTATTTCATGGTCACCTGAAATAAGAAATGGTCACAGAATAGCTGCTAAGTGCATCTTCTAATATTTCTATATCCAATAATGTAGTTATTTTAATCTTTTGAGATGCACACACACACACACACATATACATGTATATATATGGATGTTTTGTCTGTGTGAATGTCTGTGTACCATTTGTGTGCAGTACCTGCAGGGACCATTAGAGGGCATTGAACCTAGGTCCTCTGGAAGAGTGATAAGTTCTCTTAACCACTGAACCATCTCTCCAGCCCCTCAAAGTTTCTTAATCACATTGAGCTGTGTCCCTGGGCACTGGGTGGGTATAAAGGGTTGTTGGAACATTGTTAATCACTGTTATCATTAGTGATATGTTCTAAGACTTTATTTTGTGGTCATTCTTATGTTCATTTCCTTGTAAGTAAGCAAGGTTGTTGGGGATAGGGCTATTTGACTTACTAGTTAGCAGCTGAACTCTCCCTTACTTGTCTTGAGCAAAAGGACTGTCTGTCTGTCTAACACTACCCGACTACCCTTAAGCCAGCACCAGCCATCACTCCATAGATGCCTTAGGACAACTAAGCAAAAGACTGCAGCTGAGAGGAGGAGCCTCAGTTTGTGTCAGACTTGTGCCACTGGGGGCACACTTATCCAGTGGAAGACTTCTATGACTGATGGGAAGCTCACGATTGCTCCCAAACACAAGCTTTAAAGACTGATTAGCGCTACACACCAAGTTGTGACTGGTCTAAACAATCCATCCCTGAATATGTAAGCAGACTCCTTAAGTTCTCCTATTGTACTGACTGGGAGACATTCCCGTATTACCTACCCTGATATAGCAGTTTCCTGGAAATAAAACATCATCCTGGAGGAGGCTGCTTAAGACTCAGAAAGTCTTAAGTTGAAAGATCCCTTCAGGAAGGAGCAGGGAGGCTCATATGAGACACAGGAAGAAGTATACAAACGTCACTGTCTGGGAAAACTAAAACACACAAGATTCAAGATATAGAAGCAGCAAACCCAGCTGGGAGGTGGTGGCCCATGCTTTTAATCTCAACACTTGTGAGTTCGAGAGGCCAGATTGGTTTATAGAGTGAGTTACAGGATACACAGAGAAACCCTGTTTTGGAAAACCAAGAAAGAAAGAAAGAAAGAAAGAAAGAAAGAAAGAAAGAAAGAAAGAAAGAAAGAAAGAAAGAGAGAGAGAGAGAGAGAGAGAGAAAGAAAGAAAGAAAGAAAGAAAGAAAGAAAGAAAGAGAAAGAAAGGAGAGAGAGTAGGAAGGAGATGATGAATAGAGAAAGAGATGGAAAAAGAAGAAGAAAAGAAGAAGAAGAAGAAGAAGAAGAAGAAGAAGAAGAAGAAGAAGAAGAGGAAGGGAAGGAAGGAAGGAAGGAAGGAAGGAAGGAAGGAAGGAAGGAAGAAGACCATAGGTGGGGAGAGGAAGGGAGCTACCTGTAAGACATTGACCCATCAAGCTGTCTGGGCTGTGCTCAGAGCGCTCCAGGGTTGCAGCTTTCCTGAGGGGGTCTCTCCTGATGGGGTGGGCTTTTCAATGGTGCAGCTCCCCTTGAGTCACCCTGCTCCTGACTCCAATAAACATAATGGCTTATCAAGCTGGATTTTGGTATAATCATTACTTTGATCTATCATGAGTCCCTACCTGAGTAAGTCTCCCACAACACTATCCATGAAACAGAGACTAATCCCAAGTGGTCTTTCCTTGCCTACTTTCAGAAGTGCAGGCCACACTGGATATGAAGAAGCAGCAGAGCATGGTGGCAGGGAGGATGGCAGCAGTGTGACAATGATGGAGGCAGTGTGACATTAAGGAGCACCAGCCACACCCACGCTTGGACAGTGGCTTGAAACTAAAGACTTTGCACCAGCCTGTTCTTTTGGGTTATAAGCACCACCCCATAGCTTAAAGGCTAAAGATCTGCACCTTTCCTAGGCAGCGCAGTGGGAGCAGCCTTGGTTTCACAGTCCAAAATGCCCACTTGATTCTGGAAGAAGGGTTGGGGGAAGCCTTGACAGGACCACTTGGCAGTTATAAAGGTGTTTGCCTGAAGAAGCCTGGGACCCATCTGGTGATGCTGGTACAGCAATGTGGTCTGCTGATCTACCCAGAGAGCCCATCTGCTCATAAGCATCCCACCTCTGGGCTATCCAGGTCTGAGTTTATCCTAGCCACACCAAGGCCCAGCTGCTGTAATACCTCTAGGCATTTGGCTCCCAAATGCTTTCCTAACAAAGACAAGTACTGAGTTATCCATCCTGCTGGCAGCCATGGACAACTGAAGGAGCAGCTGAAAGTTTGAAACGGGGAAGTGGAAGAGAGATGACCAGAAAGTAGAGAGCTGATTAAAGCTGTGAAGGAGCCCGAGAGAACAACCTGCAGGCTCCAACTTCAACAAGAGTTCCAGAGAGCTGTGAAGTCTTAGGAGCTAAGGGCCTCACACTGAGCAGTAACACTGGCTGCTGTTGAGGCCAAGGGACCTGATACTCCTGCTGCTTCTACCCGCTGCTGGAAGACACAAGCTTCTAGAGGCCAGCATCTGAACAGCTTTCCTCCCATCTACCCAAGGTTTCTCTCCAGGCAGAGCCAAGTTGCTAGCTAGTGAACGGCAAGAATATTTTCTAGAGTTGATTCATTTGAAAAAGATCCTATTTTCTTGTTTTCAATAATCTTACACATTTTAAACTCCAGACTTCTATGGCAAGAGTTAAACTGTTTGTTTAAGCAAGAATTAGTAGAGTTTTTGTGTTCCTTGCAATATACACAGTATATACAATATGTAACATTTTGTGACAGGATTAAACGCCTTTAATCCTAGCACTCGGGAGGCAGAGGCAGGTGGATGGACCTCTGTGAGTAGGCCAGCCTGGTCTACGGAGTAAGTTCCAGGACAGGCTCCAAAGCTACACAAAGAAACCCTATCTCAAAAACAAAAACAAAAACAAAAACAAAAAGGAAAAGAAAAGAAAAAATTTCAGTGAAGTGCCTTCTATGATAATCTGGGTATTAATGTTTCATATTATCACTTCATTTCTAAGAGGCAGTATTTCTGTTTATTAAACTAGTCCCCATTATTGTTCATTTGTATAGGGTTTGCGTTAGCAGCCATAAAAATAGCTACAGTGTCTCTTCTTCTCTGACCCTGGCTGGAGTCCAGATCTCACACTTACCGGGGTTGCTCCGCCTCTAATCTCCAACCACCCTCTCCTTTCCCTGGCTGCCCCGCCCCAATCGTGACTAAAATGTGATCTGTGTCTTATCCTCGTTGTCCATCGCCAGGCACACTTACCTCTGTCCCCCGCCGCGTTCTCACAGATTTTGACGGTCAAATGATTCCCCGTCAATAAACAGCTGTGTAGCTACTCCTGCCTCCAGATGGAAACATTCCTTCATGGAGAGAGGGAGGAAGGCTCATAAAGCTCACAATTTCAGTAACTCACAGGAAACCTACAAGCCTGTGAGGCCCCTCCCTGCACTCATGGAAGCAGTAAACAATCCCTGAAGAGAGGAACCTCTCTGGGGGAGCTGCCTGAAAGCCCTACAGGAACTCCAGAAGCATGGCTTTCCTAAATCCTCACGATGCTCTAGAGGAACCTTCGTTCATGCATCTGTAGTAATCACAATGAATGAGTTGGTTCCCATGATAGACTGAATCCCCAGATTATTCATTCATTCATTCATTCAGTCAGTCAGTCAGTCTATCTTCTGTGTCTTATCTGGGGCAAACAGACACTTACTTACATCCAGAAAAAGTCACAGAACACCAACAGAAAACGGAAAAATCATCCTCTTCCCCAAAGGACTCTAATGAAAACCAGAGATGAAGTCAGGTGCAGTCAGTCACTGGGGAAGAACCCATCTGACGCTGAGAAGTTGCAGCGGAGGAGGAACAGATTTGTTCTCTATCAAGGTCACTGTCATCGCCGCAACAAACTGGAAATGTCATCACTGTCTGGACAGTTGGACTCGTTTTATTAAGAATTTAATTTTCTTTGTTTCTATCTTCTGTACTAGCAAGTGGTCCGCTATAAGAATGTGAAGCCTCTTTGCTTTGGGGGAGAACCCGGGCAGGAGGGGAACAAGGGAAGGAGCTGGTGAGGGGCCCAGGCAGTTTCCTTTACAGGAGAGCCCTCTGACGTGTTAGTGCATTTAATGATGGCTTACTTGACTTACAGACCATCAAGACCTAGCATGCTGCCTGGTTCTGCCCTTGCTCCTCCACCTAGCTGAACCCGGATGCAGCCCAGGAGAGTCAGTGTAGGGCAGGGAGCCCCTGGGGCAAGGGTTAGGGGGCTGCCTGGTTGTAGCTCTGGCTCTTCTACTTTGCTCCTAAAGGGTTTAAGGCAAGAGCGGCTTCTTTTCTACAGTTATGTAGACAAACACCACAATGATGAAAATGCCAAGGATGGCCAGCTTCAAGCCCCACGGAAAGCTGTTGCCAAGGTTCTGGATCAGGAAGCTGCTCTCCAGGCTCTGGTTCTCTCCGCAGTAGTCCTCTTTGGTGGCACACCCATGACTGACTCGCGGAATCGATCTTGCAGCATACCTGTGGAAACATTTCAGAGGCGCCTAGGAATGTAATCAGCTGCTTCCTCTTAGGGAAATGTGCGCGCAACCAGGTGGCCCATGGGATCAGCCCTAGACTCTGAAAACCTGTGCTAATGGCCATACCTATAAACCACAGGAGGGCTCTCAGCATGGCAGAGCATTTCCTTCCACTATTAACAGTCTTTGGAACAATGCTGGCAAAGTCTGGCTCCAGGAACTTAGGGTCTCTGGGTCCTCCAATGGGAAGCTGTACACGCAACGCAGAGGCATAACAGGCCCTGTCCTCCTCTCTGCACAGACCTAGCACCACCGTTCTGGGTGCACATGGACGTGCTTTTCCATCATCCTTAAAATCGACATTTAAAACAACAGGAAGGTTTAGCCCTAGGTACCTGCTGTACCACCTGTATAACCTTTGACCTTATGCTCTGGCTAATCTAATCCTGCAAAACCAGCTAATGTTTCCTCGGAAGTTAGAGAAGGTTAACCAGAGAAGGCAGAAGGGTCAGAAGTTCAAAGTCATCCTTGGCTAAAGAGCAAATTCAAAGCAGCCCGAGATACATGTGACCATGTCTTAAACACCCCTAGTCTCCCCAAAATAGTTAATGGAATTTTCTAGAACATTAGGGGGGTTGTTGTTTGAATCATTGGTTGGCATTTAGACATTAAACCCAGGACCTCATCCTCTCCCACTGAAACACACCTTAGCCCCCACTTCTGGCTAATAAACTCACCTATAGTCTAGCTTTTATCAGAGCCATGTCCCTTTTAAAATACTAGCTCTTAATCAGTTTCCAAAACACAACCAGTGACAAATCTCTCCAGATGACTACAGATGAGGACTTGGGTTCTGGTCTGAGTTCCTTGAGACTTCTGACATCCTGTCAGCACCCTCCTCCTTCCAACTCCTGTTTTTTTGTTTTTTGTTTTCTCCAAATATGAATGATGAGATACAGACTTTGACTTTGAAATTATGCGGTATCACAAGTCTGTCTTCTTTCTCAGCAGGTTCTCTTCAAGTTCAAACCCTTCACAGACATCTGTATAATGAATTGCACCTCCCAATAATATCTATGTCTTTTTATGCTACCAAAGATTTTACCTGAGGCTGGGCATGCAGTTCAGGGTAGAGCTCTTGGCTAGCATGCCCAAGACCCTAGGACAGAGGTATATCAGGCTTTACCTGCCTCCTTTTGAGGGCTTCTGGCTCAGGTAGTAGATGTCGAAGATTCTTCTTTTACTAGTAGGAGACTCGGGTCTCTGATATAAAAAGAAAATACCAACAATAATTTATTTGCAATGTCTTATAACTTGGTTTTTATGTCGGAAAAAAATCAATCTGAAAACTGGCCCATGTTTTAGGCACACCAGGTAGTTTAACATTTGAGTTTATCTTTCCTCGGTAGTCAGCAAAAGCACCTAGTGTAGACACCTGGATGGCTCGGGTCACATGGTGAAAACACCACTCTATTACTGAGCACTAACTCCATTTTCTCCCTTTTTTCTTTTTCTTTTCTTTTTTTCTAATTTGTGGCTTGGAAATTGTTTTCTTTTTCTTCCACTTAAAAAAAATAAGCATGTGATTTCTATGTAAATAATAAAGTTATTAAAAATATGTTGTCTGTGAACAAATACTAGAAAACAACGTAGGAAATGAACCATTTCCCTTTAAGAGAATAACTTGGAACAACTATGTTTTCTTTTTTCAAAGACTTATTTCTATTTGTGTGTGTTTGTGTGTGTGTGTGTGTGTTTGTGTGTGTGTGTGTGTGTGTATGTCTGTATGTCTGTATGTCTGTATGTCTGTCTTATGTGTACAGGTACCCAGGGAGGCCTGAAGAGGGTGACAGATTCCCTGGAGCTGGAGTTATAGGTTATTGCAAGCTGCCGGACATAGGGTTCTGTGTATCGAACTGAAGTCCTCTGCAAGGGCAAGATGTACTCTTAAATGCTGAGCAATCTTTCCATCCCCTGTCTTCTCTCTCTCTCTCTTTTTTTTTTAATTAAAAAAAATCCTTTGGGGACTGGAGAGATGGCTCAGCAGTTAGAAGCACTTAACCTGTCTCCTGTGGCTCTATCCTACAATATGTTATAGTGTATTTAGCTCGTTGTTCTGTGGCTCTAACCTACATAAGTTATAGTGTACTTAACCAGAACTTTTATTTATCTACTCAGAAAACATTTGCTGTGTTTTTCTGGGGGGTGGGGTATTTTTATTTTATTAATTTATTTTTTACATTCCCATTCCAGTTCCCCCTCCCTCCTCTCCTCCCGCTCTCCCCTACCTCCCATCTCCTCCTCCAAGAGAGTAAGGCCTCCTGGGAGGAAGTCTACTAAGTCTGTCTCATCATCTTATTGAGGCGGGACCAAGGCACCTCTCCACCCCCACACCCTACCCCTGTGTCTAGGCTGAGCAAGGTATCTCTCCATATAGAATGGGCTCCACTAAGTCAGTTTGTGCATTAGAGTTAGATCTTGGACCCACTGCCAGTGGCCTCATATATTATCACAGTCGCACCATTGTCACCTATATTCAGGGAATCTAGTTTGGTCTTAGGCAGGTTCCCCCTTTGTCAGACCTGAGCCAGTGATCTCTCACTAGCTCAGGTCAGCTGATTCTGTGGGTTTCCCCTTATTGTCTTGACTCCTTTGTTCATATTATCGCTCCTCCCTCACTTCAATTGTACTCCAGGATCTTGGCCCATTGGTTAGTTGTGGCTTTCTGCAGCTGCTTCCATCTGTTTCTGGAAGAGGGTTCTAGCTGCTCTGGGGTTGTAGATGTAGGCTGGGTATCTTTTGCTTTATGTCTGGTATCCACTTATGAGTGAATACATATTATATTTGTCTTTCTGGTTTTGGGTTATCTCACTCAGGATTTTTTTTTTCTAGTTCTGTCCATTTGCCTGCAAATTTTAGGATGCCATTGTTTCTTACCGATGGGTAATCCTCCACTGTGTAAATATACCAAAAGTTTTTTTTGGGGGGGGGGTTCGAGACAAGGTTTCTCTGTGGTTTGGAGACTGTCCTGGAACTAGCTTTTGTAGACCAGGCTGGTCTACAAAATCTGCCTGTCTCTGCCTCCCAAGTGCTGGGATTAAAGGTGTGTACTACCACAGCCCCGTTACCACATTTTCTTTATCCATTCTTCCGTTGAGGGGCATCTAGGTTGTTTCCAAGATCTGGCTATTATGAATAATGTTGTTATGAACATAGTTGAGCAAATGTCCTTGTGGTGTGAGTGTTCCTCCTTTGGGTATATGCCCAACAGTGGTACTGCAGGGTCTTGAGGTAGGTTGATCCCCAATTTTCTGAGAAATCACCATACTGATTTCACAGAGGCTGTACAAGTTTGCACTCCCACCAACCATGGAGGAGTGTTCCCCTTTCTCCACATCCTCTCCAGCATAAGATGTCATTGGTGTTTTTTATCTTAACCATTCTGATTGGTATAAGATGGAATCTCAGAGTGGTTTTGATTTGCATTTCCCTAATGACTTAAGGATGTTGAGCATTTCCCTAAGTGTCTTTCTGCCATTTGAGATTGTTCTGTTGAGAATTCTCTAATTAGATCTGTACCCCATTTTTTAAATTTTTTTCTGTACCCCATTTTTAATTGGATTATCTGATTGTTTGATTTCTAGTTTCTTGAGTTCTTTGTATATTTTGGAGATCAGTCCTCTGTCAGATATGGGGTTGGTAAAGTTCTTTTCCCATTCTGTGAGGAGCCATTTTGTCTTGGTGACCATGTTCTTTGCCTTACAGAAGCATCTTAGTTCCAGGAAGTCCCATTTATTCATTTTTGCTCTCAGTGTCTACACTACTGGTGTTTTATTTAGGAAGTGGTCTCCTGTGCCTATGCATTCAAATGTATTTCCCACTTTCTCTTCTATGAGGTTCAGTGTGTATGAATTTATATTGAGGTCTTTGGTCCATTTGTGCTTGAGTTTTGTGCATGGAGATAGATATGGATCTGTTTGCATTGCTGTGTTTTTAAAAAGATTTATTTCCTTATCTTCTTATTCATTAGCATGTGTATGTACATTTCTAAGTGTGTGAATACACACCATGTTTGTATCTTGACCAAGGAGACTAGAAAAAGGTGCTGGATCCTCTGGAACTAGAGATAGTTGTGAGCCACCTCTTGGAACTGAACCCAGGTTCCCTGGAAGGGAAACAAGTGTTCTTAACCACTGAGCTAGCTCTATTGATTTGTTGTGTTTTTCTGACATGTCAGGAGGTCTTTGGATACTGAGACCACACACTATCCAAGCCACAGACAGCTAAGCATGAAAAGATACTGTGTAAGCACTCCATTATTTGGATATTGATCAGTTGGCTCTCATGGCACTATATCCTGTTTCTTTTGTCCCCCTGGAATCCTAAGACTTGAGCAAGAATAGGCTTTCCACCACCATTGGGGTGTCTGATGCACAGGGTAAACAGAAAATCACTGACTGAAGAGGAAGACTGGCTACCTCAACAGAACAATAACCCAAGGCAAACCAAACGGATTTCTGACCATAAGACCAGAGAGGCTGGACCTGGTTGTGTGGCACATGGGACAACAAAGGTGACAGTAACATCTTGAGGTTTCCCGGACAAAGCACCTTGGTCTCTGAATACTGTCAGGATGCTCACTGGAACACATAACCTGGTGACTGGACTGTCATAGACCCAAAAGCAGTTCCAAGGGCTCTGGCCTGGTAGGGCAAGAAGGTATGGACACCCCACCTAGTTGTGACCACAGCCATGGGAAGGCTGCAGTCTGTCTGCCCCTTCCTCTTCTGTCCTTCAAAGAGGATCTCTCACCAGGGGCCCAGATGTCCAAACAGGGTCTGCAGCTGTGCTCATCTCTGCTCATGAGCTTACTGGTCCCAGCCACCTCCTAAACACTGGTTCTCAGGCACATTTCTCCTCCAAGGTCCCCACAGCCATGTATGCTCAGCAAGAGATATTTTGTGCTGTTCCCAAGGGTACTGAAAATCTTTTGTTGAGAAAATTCCATTTTTAAAATCCTTTGACTTAGGAAAGAATTTAAACATACACAAAGGTAGACAATGATGTAGCAAGCCTCCACATGCCTGTCGCACACCACTTTTTCTTGAAGATAGAAATAGGAAGTTTAAATAAAGCACTTTAGATAAAAGTCTGTTGCAAAATAAAATTACAGGATTTCACAGCTCTTAGGCAATCAAATACTCCCTCCTTTTTCTTCCTGTCCTAAGTAGTTTTAGCTTGTTTATTCCTTTCCTTCCCTTTTAGTTGAGACATCTTGCAATGTTGCCCAGAATGGCTGAATTCCTGGACTCAAGCCATCCTTGTGCCTTAACATCTGACAAGCTGGGGCTGTCGGTGTGTAAGACACTTGTCTATCCTAGTTTTAGTTTGTTTTGAGATAGGGTCTCTCTATGTAGCCCTGGCTGTCCTGGAACTCACCCTGACCTCAAACTCATAGAGATCATCCTGCCTCTGCCTCCTGAGTGCTGGTCTGCCCTATTTTTAAATAAATTGATTTTATGTATAGTGCATATACACATGTATATGTGTGCATGAATGTTTTCCATTCACATAGAGTTCTGGTGCAGTATGTAAAGGGCAGACTGTTTTTTTTTTTTCAATATAATTACGGCCTGTCCACTTGAATGTGTAGCATCAGAACCAGGACTGAACTAGCAATAATGTTAAAAAGACTGCATCTCAAGAAAAGGGTCATCAGTATGTCCACTGGCAAACAATAGAAAATCTTATACACACAGCAACATTAGCTGTCCACACACTAGATCTTCATACAAATAAGACTAACAAAACAAAATGACAAAACAACAAATAACAGGAAATAACAAAAACAAAACAAAACCGAGTTTTGCAACAATGGTGTCTGTAGCTGATGTATATTTCATCTTTTTTTTTTTTTTGCCTGAGATTGGGCTTCTCTGCGTAGCCCTAGCCATTCTGGAACTTACTCTGTAGATCAGACTGTCGGGCAACTCAGAGATCCACCTGCTTCTGCCTACTGAGTGCTGGGATTAAAGGTGTGAGCCACCACCACTCAGTGGATCCCAATAAGCAGAGATGAGGTCCCATATTTGAGACATATCCTTGGCTTGGAATGGTAGTACACCGGAGACTGAGGCAAGAGGATCCCTTCAAGTTGAAGACCAGATTGGACGACAGACAGAACTTTTTTTAATTTATTTTTTCACATAGGGCCTCTTTATATAGCCCTGGCTGTCCTGACACCACTTGCTCTGTGAGTTCCA